GCCGCGTGGCAGAGACATGATGCGGGAAGGCCATGCGGAACGGGCCACGTGGGCGATCCGCGTGCGCGCGATCGGATGGCTGAGATCCGTCCCACACGCACGGACAGCCCAGATTGCACGCGTGCGGACGGTCCAAATTGAATCATGCACGAACGGCCTAGATCGCATCGCGATGGACGGCCCAGATTCATTTCTAATTTAATCGCGATCGGACGACCCAGATTAAATCGTGATAGACGGCTTAGATTAAAAGAGAATGGTTATAAATAATCTCATCCACACCCAACCCCAAATCCTAGCCGCCAGAGTCCTCGCCGGAGAAGACAGCCCAGCCACCGGAAGAACCAAACCTGATATATTTTTCGGTCTGTTCCTGTTTGATGTATTTTACAGTCTAAATACAGTATAGTATTTGATTGTTTATTCTGTGGTTTCGTATGCATGAATCACTGTTTAATCTATTATGGTTTGAATTATTGTGAACCCGATGTTGTGTTGCCTTGTTTGGTGTGCGTTATTAGTTTACGTATTCATGTTGATTGGGTAATTGAGACTAAGAAAAATAAAAAGAGTATGTAAATTTATAAATAGATAAGTCGACAGCCTCACTAGATATCTTGGGAGATAATGGACGGACCGGATCCATAGGGAACCTTACCGGGACGTGGTCTCTCATATTGGACGGGGTATGGAGACTTTAAATATTTTGGCGCTCATACCAAACGGGGTATGGGAACGGACCGCTTCACCCTAATACCAGACGGTATTGAGGTTTATGGTTTTGGCACTCATACCGGACGGGGTATGGGGACGGTCTTGGAATTAAGGTGAATGGTTCACGTGTAGCGGGAACCCCTATGGATCCCCATAGATACTAATAGGCTGATAAAAGAGAAAATTTGTTGTCTGATGACTGAAATACAAAAGTATGATATGTGTTATGTTACAGAGTGTGCATGATCTTATGATGTTTATAATGTTATTGTTTTCATAAGTTATTTTCATGAATCTCACCAAGGTAAGTGGACAGTAAATGATTTTATTATTGATAAATGAATTTGTTATAAATTATGCTTCATTGGTCGTTTTTGTTTTCTACCAACCTTTACTTCTGTGACAGTGAGATAGTGTGACATCTTTACCGAGCTAGTGTAGTTCATTCCTTACTTAACCATTTCAGATCAGGAGGACTTGGTTCCCAAACCGTTCTGCAGGAAGACCGCGAGTAGAAGCCTAAAGATTTATTGGTTTTCCTTCTGGTATTCATTCATAGTATTTTCTTTAGTTAATTTATTCTTTCATATCTTTAATAGGTTTTGATTATTGCGTAAGGGATGTTAATCATAATCTATTTTATTTTACTTCCGCACTTAGAATAAATATATACATTTTTTTTTAATTTCCGGGGCCGTTACATAATTACTGGTGGGGTTCAAAATGTGCTCATCAAAGGGGTATGAATCGGATGTCTTAGGAAAAAATATGTAAGAAGAATGAGTGGGGTGGAATGAGATTCTGGTCCTTATATGAGTTTAATCTTGTAATGTTGCGTAAACAGTTGTGGAGGATGCTAACCTCTCCCCAAGCACTGGTGTTAAGAGTATTTAAAGCCAAATACTTCCCTAACAGTGATATTACAAAGCCGGTATTATGCAGCAATCCTAGTTTTTATTAGAGGAGTATTTATGCAAGAAAATCTCTGGTGCTCTCTAGTCTATGATGGGTTATTACTTCCCTAACAGTGATATTACAAAGCCGGTATTAGGCAGCAATCCTAGTTTTTGTTGGAGGAGTATTTATGCAGCAAAATCTCTTATGCTCTCTAGTCTATGATGGGTTATTGGTACTAGAACAACGATACGTGTCTAGGATGATCCGTGGTTGCCTAGGGATAGGAACTGTATGATTTGAAGTTTATGTCTATCGGTCTTGGAATTTATGGTTGTTGGGGATCTTATGATGGAATACATTATAGATGTTGGAACTCCGACATGGTGAGGGATTTTCTTGGAAGAATAAGCAGAACTTATTCTAAAGCATTCCTTTAAGTTATCATAGTCGAGCGGATAAGTTGATTTGTGCCCCCTCAATCCACGGTAGTTACTCGGTGAAATCAGTGTATAATCTCTTTATGGCAACCCATGAAGATAGTCGGTTCAATGATTGCTTTATGGGAAAAAGTTTGGTGTGCATCTATCCCCCCTAAGAAAAACATTTTATTTTG